TGTTATTGTTTGACTTCATAACGGCTGCCATTCTTACTGGAGTGAGATGGTATCTTAGGGTGGTTTTACTTTGCATTTCTCTGACTGCTAGAGATGGTGAGCATTTTTTCGTGTGTTTGTTGATTGATTGTATATCCTCCTCTGAGAAGTGTCTGTTCAGATCCTTGGCCCATTTGTTGGTTGGGTTATTTTTTTTTGTGGTTTAACTTTTTGAGTTCTTTGTATACTCTAGAGATTAGAGCTCTATCTGAAGTATGAGGGGTAAAAATTTGTCCCCAGGATGTAGGCTCTCTATTTACCTCACATATTATTTCTCTTGCTGAGAAAAAAACTTTTTAGTTTGAATACGACCTATTTGTTGATTCTTGATTTTAACTCTTGTGCTATAGGTGTCCTATTAAGGAATTTGGAGCCCAACCCCATGAGATGGAGATTAGTGCCAACTTTATCTTCTATTAGATGCAGAGTCTCTGGTCTGATTCCTAGTTCCTTGATCCATTTTGAGTTAACTTTTTGGTGAGAGAAAGGGATTTAGTTTCATTTTGTTGCATATGGATTTCCAGTTTTCCCAGCACCATTTGTTGAAGAAGATATCCTTTCTCCATTGCATGCTTTTAGCACCTTTGTCTAATATAAGGTAGTTGTAATTTTGTGAATTTGTCCTCAATTCTATACCATTGGTCTACCTGCCTGTACACCATGGTACCAGTACTATGCTGTTTTTGTTACTATTGCTCTGTAGTATAGTTTAAGATCTGATATCGCTATACCACCTGTTTCACTCTTCCTGCTTAGAATTGCTTTTGCTATTCTGGGTCTCTTATTTTTCTAGATGAATTTCATGATTGATTTATCTATTTCTGTGAGGAATGCCATTGGGATTTTGATTGGCATTGCATTAAACCTATAGAGTACTTTTGGTAATATGGCCATTTAATGATATTAATTCTGCCTATCCATGAGCAAGGTATATGTTTCCATCTTCTAAGGTCGTCTTCTATTTCTCTCTTTAGGGTTATGTAGTTTTCATTGTATAGATTTTTCACCTCTTTTGTTAGGTTGATTCCCAAGTATTTTATTTTATTTTTTTTAGGATATTGTGAATGGGGTGGTTGTTCTCATTTCCATTCCAGAGGATTTGTCACTGATATACAGGAATGCCTTTGATTTATGCATGTTGATTTTATATCCTGCCACTTTGCTGAATTCATTTACTAGCTCTAGAAGTTACTTGATAGACCCTTTTGGGTCTGCTAGGTATAGGATCATGTCATCCGCAAATAGTGCTAATTTAAGTTCTTCTTTCCCTATCTTTATGCCTTTAATTTATTTTGTCTGTCTAATTGCTCTGGATAGTGTTTCAAGAACTATGTTGAATAGAAGTGGTGAGAGAGGGCATTCCTGTCTTGTTCCAGATTTTAGAGGGAATGCCTTCAATTTTTCTCCGTTTAGAATGATGCTGGCCTGAGGCTTAGCATAGATAGCTTTACAATGTTGAGGTAAGTTCCTATTATCCCTAGTTTTTCTAGTGTTTTGAACATAAATCGATGCTGTATTTTGTCGAATGCTTTTTCTGCATCTATCGAGATGATCATATGGTTCTTATCTTTAAGTCTATTGATGTGGCAAATTACATTTATTGATTTCTGGTGTATTGAACCAGCCTTGTATCCCAGGGATGAATTCTACTTGATCATGAAGCACAATCTTTTTTATATGTTTTTGTATCCGATTTGCCAGAATTTTATTGAGGATTTTTGCATCTATGTTCATTAGAGATATTGGTCTGCAGTTTTCTTTCTTTGAAGTCTTTTCTGGTTTAGGAATCAGGGTGATGTTGGCCTCGTAGAATGAATTTGGAAGTACTCCCTCTTTTTCTTTCCTGAAATAGCTTTGAAAGTATTGGTATTAGTTCTTCTTTAAAGGTTTTGTAAAACTCTGCTGTATACCCATCCGGTCCTGGGCTTTTCTTAGATGGTAATCTTTTGATGGTTTCTTCTATTTCCTCAATTGATATTGGTATGTTTAGGTTGTCTATATTCTCCTGACTTAATCTGGGCAGGTCATATGACTTAAGAAATTTATCAATGCCTTCACTATCTTCTATTTTACTGGAGTATAAGGTTTCAAAATAATTTCTAATTATCTTCTGTATTTCTGTAGTGTCTGTTGTGATATTGCCTTTTTCATCCCGTCTGCTAGTAATTTGAGTTCTCTCTCTTCTTCTCTTCGTTAGCATGGCTAAGGGTCTGTCGATCTTATTTATTTTTTCAAAGAACCAACTTTTAGTTTTTTCAATTGTATCTTTTATTTTGATTTCATTGATTTCAGCTCTGATTTTAATTATTTCTTGCCTTTTACTGCATTTGCTGTTGTTTTGCTCTTCTTTTTCTAAGGCTTTGAGATGAAGTGTGAGATCATTTATTTGTTTTTTTTTTTTCTTTTTTTGAAGAATGAACTCTAAGCAATGAATTTTCCTCTTGGGACTGCTTTCATAATGTCCCATAGATTCTGATATGTTGTGTCTGTGTTTTCATTTATCTCTAAGAATTTTTTAATTTCCTCCTTGATGTCTTCTGTAACCCATTGTTCATTCAGTAACATATTGTTCATTCTCCAAGTGATGTAGGAGTTTTTCTTCCTTCTTTTATCGTTGATTTTCAGTTTCTTTCCATTATGATCAGGTAAGATGCATGGTATTAGCTCTAAGAGATAATCCCGGCTGGTGGCTTAGGGTTGCTCCTGGTCTCTAGCCCCCTGCTTCTCCTGCCTGCCAGGCCCCACTTACTGGGGCACTTCTCCACGGTTCTAGCTACACTCTGGGCATGCAGTTTCCTGGATGCCCTGCTCTCTTGAAAGACTGGGCGCTCTCTGGTATTCACCCAGTCCTCCCGGCTGTGGAGTGCGGGATTTGGAAACTGGCAGCCTATTCTGATTCCCTCTGATAGCCATGCCCCAGAGAGCTGGCAGAAAGGTTTCGGGTTTTTGCCGCTGGGGGGGAGGGGGAGTTGGAGGTCAGGTGCTCCCTCAGCCTCCCTCAGCTCTGATATTCACGCCCTGGAGAGCTGGGGAGAGAGTCTGAGTTATCCCAGCTGTATGGAGGGGGGGACTGAGGGTCACAGCATCCGGCCATTCTGACCTCACTCACTGCTGGCGCAGCGCGAAGGTCATGGAGTGCTACTTTCCTACGGCCACCATCTTCCCTTTCCCTCCTTATGTTTGTTTTATAATATTCAAGGCTTTTAGATTTACTTTCTGGGAAAAATAGGAAAAATGGTCTACTCTATTGCAGCATAAGTCCCCTTATTATGTGTTATGACTAATAAAATAATTAAGAGGGAAAAACCCTCAATATTTTAGTATCTTCAAAAATTTAAATCAATACATAAAATTATGCATATTTATAGATTGCTGTGTAATATGTAAGTGCATGAACAATTGTATAATGTTAAAATCAGGGTAATCACATCTCTTTTTCATGATTTTTTTGGGGATTGAACTTGAGGGAACTCGGCCACTGAGCTACATCCTCAGCCCTATTTTGTATTTTATTTAGACAGGGCCTGGCTGAGTTGCCTAGTGCCTCAGGCTGGCTTTGAACTCGTCATCCTCCTGCCTCAGCCTTCTGAGCTGCTGGTATTACAGGTATGTGTCACCATGCCTGGCATTTTAGTTTTGTCAATTTTTTGAACTAAGGCCCCCACCCCATTTTTCAATAGGCCATGCAATTATGTGGAAAGCCCTGTACTCTACCTACCTTCCCCACACTTTGTAGCCAAATGGTCCCTAGAATTTAAAACCCCCTAATTTTGTAAGGAAGGACTTTTCTCTTCCTGGACCCAAGAGCTCTAGGTCCCCACTACTTTAGAGTGAGAACTCTGGAAAGTTGTACTTAGGATTGAACCCTTGTTTCCTGGCATGGGTGTGGGGAGGGCTAAAATTCTGCCCATCCTGGCCTTCTAGAACTTCCAACCCTATCAGGCTGCCGCATGCTATGCCATTGGCGTGTTAGGGGAGACATTTGTTGCTCCCCAAAAGTATCTAATGAGTTGAGGCTTCCTGGAGGATTGAGTGTGATTGATTTGACAGGAGTTAGATGGGCTCTGCTACAGTTTGGGTATGATTTGTCCCCCCCCCCCAAAGCTCATGTACTGGAGGCTTGGTCTCTAGGGTAAAAGTATTGAGGATGGTAGAACTTTTAAGTAGAGTCTACTTGGAGATTATTAGGACATGGGGGAAACATTCTGGAAAAGGATAAATGCCTGTCTTGCAGGAGCATATCATGGGACGAGGCTGGCTACCCATGGAGTGGGTTGTTATGAACCCCATTCAGCTCTCTTGTTTTGCTCTCTTGCTTCCTTCCTCTACCCCAAAGTGATCTCTGTCTTCTGCACATACCACTAACCACTCTTGCACATGCTTCCTCCATAATATCATCCACCATGGTGAGCCAGAAAACCTCACCAAAAGTCAAGCAGATAGGGCTGCCTGATCATGGACTTTCAGCCTCCAAAACTGAGTTAAAATACTCTTTTCTTTATAGTGTATGGAGTCTCAGGTATTTTATTGTATCAGTTGCACAAAATGGACTAAGACAGATGACAAGGATGAGCAAAGGAGAAGGCTCCAGGGAACTTCTACTTTTAAAAAGATACGGGATTGATTTTCTGGGGGACCCTGAATTGAAGATGTAGGTATTTCACTAATCCCCTCTCTTAATTGAAATTTCCCAGATGAACCCTATATTTGCTTAATTAATAGGTAAGATTAGGTACTTTTATATGGCACCAGCAAGGTAGTATTTCCTGAAAAGAAAATAAAAGAATAACTACTTTGAAAAAATTAAGTTTTGTTACAAGAATTTGAAGCTTAATAAAACATCTATAAACAAATTTTTTTAAACACATGCTTTTTGTTTCCAGCTTATGAAAAACTTAAGACTGTAAGAAGTAATATAATTGTCTTGTTCTGTTTTCTATAACAAAATGCCAGAGATTGAGTAATGTAAAGGAAAGAAGTTTATTATGGTTCATGGTTCTGGAGTCTGGAAAGTCCAAAATTACACAGCAACATCTGTCGAGGGCCACATGCTACCTCAACTCCCTATGGAAAGTGAAAGGGCAAGTGGGTACATTCACAATAGAAAGAGCATGAGGAACAGCCTTGCTTTATAACAACCCACTCTCAAGGTAAAGAATCTGGTGATGAGAACCCACTCCTACCAGAGGGTGCTAAGACATTCATGATGGCTCCATACTCCCTGATCTCAACCCTCCCAATTATTTTCAACCTTCCCCATCCCTAAGGTTCACTCCAGCATTGAAAAATTAAGATTCCATTACATGAAATTTTGGAGGACTCACTCAGACCATAGCAATAATTAAAAACCTCAGCATACAGTTGACTAGATACCAGATTCCACTCCCCAGGATGGTCTAGATTAAGTCAGATCTGGCTGAGGGCCGGTCGGGTGGTGTCCCTGCAGAAAGAAGAAGGGAGATAGCAGAGGGGCAGGGAGAGAGGGGGCATAGGGTAAATAACAGAGACAATTGAAGGAGAATCACATGGTTACTCACAGATGGGAGATGGAACCTAAAAAGAAGTAACAAACAAGCTCTGTCCCCTGCTGCCCCCTCCCCCAGCCTGGGCTAGAATCACAGACTTACCTGGGCACAAATCCTGGAGACGGGGGAGGACCTGCAGTCAGGCTTCATGCCTGGGACCTTGAATGTCACAACTGCCTGATTCTGAGAGCCCAGGGACTCCAGGCAGCAGTGCTGGAAGCAGGGATAGAAGATGCAGTTGGGGACACACAGCTGGGTCGCATTCAGTGGCAGGATGGTGTCATTGTGACAGCACTGCTCCAAGGGGTTGTAGGGCTGGTCTCCACACCTTGGTGCTGGCTGGCACAGCCATGGGCCAGTATCTGGAAGAGTCAGAGTTGAGTGGGCTCAAAGGGCCACTGTAGGACATGCCCCATACCTCCCTAGTTGGCATTTCCTCCTCACTGTACCTGTTCTCACCTGTGACTCCTCTGCATTTAATGAGCCCAGGAGTTCAGCAATGAGAACAGCGGCTGAGAAGAAGGGGAATGAGAATGTGGGAAAGGAGCAGTCTGAGCATGATCATGGAGTGCAGGGTGATGTCATTGAGCTTTGGTTGCTGTTAGCCTCTCAGAGAGGATTTTGAGATGGACTGTGGGGGCAGGTGCTGGGGTCAGGGCTGGCAGGTGAAGAAATGCAGGGAGGGCTCTGGGAAGAGTGAAGCTTCTGAAATTTGCAGGTGCGCAGAGAGGATGCAGTGCATCAGAGAAGACAGGGGGTGATTACCAAGTTGGAAGCTGAGAACAGAACAGGGAAGAAAGGATCAAGTTTGCGGTTCAGAGGTAAACAGGGATGCAATGACATTAGGGTTTACGTGGGGCTGGCATCTCCTTACCAAAAATCCTGGGCACCATGGCTCTGATTAGGTTACAGAGCTGTGGATGGCAGAGCAGCAGCAGGACTGGATAAACGGCCGTGAGCTGTGGTTTATATAGGAATTCTGTTCCACCCCTCCAGGCGGGCTTGGCAGCTTCTATTACAACAGATGCTGCAGTGATTCTGGAAAGGGTGTGGTGAAGAGTCAGCTACGTGCCCAGAAAAGAAATCTGACAAAATCAATTAGCAAAATGCTCCCACATCGAAATAAATGCTATTTGGGGGGTTTCCAATGTTTTGATTCTGATAAATGCCTTTGTTTTGAACTTGCCTGAGGGAATAGTAGGAAGAAATTCTCCTGTTTTCCCTTATGAGGGTACAAATCAGCCACCTGTTTTCCGGCTTCCTGTACTCCTCATCTTGCAAGTTCTAAGCACTCTCTATGCTCTCAACTTAGCCCATCTCCTGACCTGAACTGTTTACAAATCTTGAGAGTTATTTTGTGGAAAATCATGGAACTTCAGAGTGATCCAAAAGAGCAGGGGCTTCAGAAACTGTGCTAATGACAATAAAAAGGAACCGTCCTAGGTTGGACCTCTGGTATTTCAAGACCATTAATGATTAGTGTGATGAGATAACAGTGTGGTATTGATGTGACCACCCTGGTTTTCACTGGCTGCCTCCCTGGGTCACAGAGATGGTGAAGCAGGGATAAAGCAGAAGCATTAGAGTGCTGTAGGAGGGCATCATTAGTGGAGAGACTCCTCCTCCTCTTTCTCCTTTAAATTGGTTGTGCAGTACTTCAGCATGAGTGGTCTGAGTACTGCTCTCCTCTCCTCATTCTGCAGAATGCAGGGAGTGTCAGTGTATCAGGTTCTCACTATCCCTTTTCCTAGCTCCTGTGCCCTAATAGGAGTCCCTTTTGTGAAGACTTCTCATCCCCGAGAAGAGCTGCTGGGGAAACAGACCAGTGAGAATTATGTTTCTTTGTTCCATCTTAGATATGTTGATGTGTCGTTCACTATTCTGAATGAGCAATCTAGAAATCCAAGGCCACATGCAAGAGAAATCCTTGGGTGAACAGAAATAACTGTGGAGGAAATTCATAAGGGTCATCACTAGAAAATCATCTGTATTAGTAAACTGTTTACATAGAAAATCATACCATGATACCTACTGTCAAGCAAGATGAAAAGTTGGAAAAATTTGGTCAGTAAAGAATCCCAGATAGCACTAAGCATGGAGACACATGTCAGTAATCCCAGCCACTTAGGAGGCTGAGGCAGGAGGATCACAAGTTCAAAGTCAGCCTCAGCAACTTAGTGAGGCCCTAAGCAACTCAGCAAAACCCTGTCTCAAAAAAAAAAAAATTAAAAAGGGCTGGAGATGTGACTTAGTGGTTAAGCACCCCTGAGTTCAATATTTGGTATAAAACAAAAACAAACAAAATAACAACAACAAAAACCCCAGCAAGCCCCTTATTACATTTAATTTGTTATTTACATAGTGAAAACAAGGTGAAACATAGGTGTCAGTGCCTGATATCCCTTGCACAGACTGACACCGAACCAAAGTGACCACACAACTGCAGTGAGAATAATAGGACACTTTGATGCTGAATAAAGAATGCCATGCTGCAGATACAGAGCTCCACAGCCGACAGCTCTAACCTAAGATATGTTGTAGGAAACCTTGGGACTCATTATCACCCACTGGTGGGGTGGCAATCACACACTCCCTGTGACAGCCTCATTAGAAGAGATGAAAATTACAGAGACTTTATGAAAGCTACTATAAGCCTCCAGGCTCTGCTCTTCTGGGAGGATCAGAGAGTGCTCTGCCCAGGCCTGGATCAGCTGCAGATAATCCTTTCCTTTGTGGCCAGTGGAAACATGAAGACCACCAGGGGACAAGGGGAGCCATTTCCCTAACCCTACAGAAGCTCCTGGAGTGGATCACTGATAATAGGATGAATGTAAGATGCAAACTCAGCACCCAAAACTCAAGTATTTCTCTACATTAGATTAAACAACAGGAGACTGAACTTCAAAAACAGTTTCACTTACAAACCCCCAGGAAGTATTTAGCTCTGGGTCTAATAAAACATGCAGAGGATGTGTGTGTAGAGCTACCTGTGACTGATGCCAGAAGTCGAAGATGAACTGACTAAATGGA